TGGTTTTTGTATTAGACCCGTCGTCCATTTATTTGTAAGTCAATGATTTTGATAAAAAAAATTTAATTACAATGAATAGCGACATCTCTAGCCGGGGCTGGTAGCTATAAAGGTATCTAACTGAGTGACGAAATATCATAGATTTCTCATAGATGGCGCTACGGCTAAAAAGTCGTTGAAAACCAAATACAAAGGTACGACGCTATTTGGTATAGCGTATAGCACGGTATGCTAGAAGACGTCGGTTCGAATCCGGCCGGATAGAAGGAATTTATTCTGAGTGTTCAATCTTTGTATTAATAATTATAACAAACTATAATTTCACATAAAAAATAATTGAACATCAATTCAATAAATATTTAAACACAAACGTACTTCGAAATTTTACAAGAAAACTGTTGTATTCAATAAGTACTTTACATATACCAATGATTTTTTTAATATCAACTAAATAGAACACGTATACTCATGATATATATTTTTCAAATGGACTTAATTTCGTTTGTAAGAAAACTAATTCTGAAATAAATCGTGCAAAATTGGAAGAAACCATCCTACTATATTTTCACCAAAAACAGTAATTAAACGTAACAATAGAAACCTGCATCAATTGAAAGTACAATTTTCTAAATTAAAATTAGTTTGTTCAGGACCGCAAATTATTGTAACTAGAACCTAAAATCACTTACCAGTCCACATAAAAGAAATTAAAGAATTTAAGATTTTCTCTAAATATTTAAAAGACTTCCTTATAAATAAAAGTTATTATAACATTCTAGAATTTTTCAATGAGTAAAATTAATTAAAAATACTTCGACATCCTTCTTTTTAATCAATTTATCTGTGTATGATAAGTGATAATTTATTTAATATGGTGTTTACCATATTGAATAAGTCATCATAAATAATATGATTGCAGTTACCTCTTTATGATGACATATGATTGTAAACCATTATATTTAATAATAAGTGAGTGCCCTCTCTACTTTGCTGTGCCCTTACAGGGTGTCACATGTACACTTACAAACCACTGTACGTAAATTATTAATAAGTGTGACAATGCAATAATAAATAAATAAATAAATAATTAAAGCCGGTGTCCCTGTCACTAGATCCACGCAACAGAACCGATTCATTCAGCCCTTATCCACTACAAGTACACCTATCATATTGAAGGAATTTTAGTAATTACTGCTTTTTCGAATTTTTGCAGTCTCAATATATAGCTCCGACTGACGCTCGCCGTGAATGGATCTCAGGCCTCTCAGGGTCATCAGGCACAGCCTTGGTCACCGCCAAGGAGGCGCTCTTGTGGACCGATGCGAGGTACTACACGCAGTTCTACTTGCAGGTCAACACTACGTTGTGGAAACTTATGAAACAAGGTAAGATACCAAACAATAAGTTTATTTTATATACACTTCCGGACACACAATATACCAACCACGCATTTTCAGTATTAAGTGCTATAAAATAAATAAAAAAATTGGTTGTAATTAAATTAGATTGAATTGAATTGGTTAGAATTTTATTTAAATTAAATTGGTTTTGTTTTGGGTTTTTACGAGTGGCGTCCCTGTCCTGTTTTGTCCCTGTCCGCTTTTTCATTGCCATGGTTTCCAAGAGAGATACTAGTAGAATGTATTACTGTGTTACGTCTAAGTTAATGTCTGTATCATGTGTCTGTGTATGTATTTGGTGGTGAATAAAGATTCTGTCTATCTATCTAAGCTTAAAACAATGTTTAATTGATCAAAAACTTTTACGCAATTTTGAAGCTAGTATATTAAACGTCTTTTCCATAAGTCCTTGTTGGGAATTTAGATTTACAAAACCGGGGAAAACATTTTCTTCGATGATAACACTAATTTTGTATTCTTGCCATTTTCGACAAAAATGCGAGGTGACTCGAATTGTGTGTCCCGGAGTATATATTAATGAATAAGATTTTATAAATTTTTATTGAATGCAAGGCACTATTATTTTAGTTAGTAGAATAAGTACAATTATGGTAACACCATATCGTCACCACAAAGTCATATCTTATAGCACAAACTTACTGAAATGTAAAAAATGCATTGTATATACAAATGTTGCAGGCTGTATACACATCACATGTCCTTAATATTCACACACTTTTAAATATTCTTGGGTGAATATAGTCCTGGCCGAAAATCCTGGTGTAAAGTGAAGAAATATTAATGATTTATTTTTTATAGTTTAATTGGACGTAAAACGAGTTTAGGGCAAGAATTTCAGAATATTTATTATACAATAACAATTAATAAAATATTAATAGTAATAATAATAAACCATTTATTTCAGGCCATAGCCCATAAGATAATGGTGTTAGTTACAAAAGAAAAACTTAGAACTATGTTAGTATGATTACATTGAATTTTGAGATATTGACAGAAAATTTAAATATTAAAATTTGGAAAATACACAATTATTACTTAATTTGACCAGTTATAATGTTTACCCAAAACTTTAAAATTGTACAGTCAAAACGATGGGCAAACAATAATGTCCCGATTTTCAATTTCGCTGGTGTGTCTACATTCTGTTTCATTGTATAAAATAGTCGTTCTAGTAAAATGTGTACGCTTTTATGAAAACCAATTCCATGTATGCTATTCACTATTAGAAGCACTAACTAAAATCATTGAAAGTATTGCAATTACCAGTTTGTGGGAGACTGGGTACTTGATCAAAGTTTGTCCACGCGAAAATGGTAGTTTTCGTGGCAAATATTCAACTGGTTGCAACTGGTAAGTAGTTTAACAATCTGCAACATACAAAAACAACACATAAAAAAATTCGTGAGGTCCGCTGGTTCGGTGGGTTTTTTGACACGGATTGCCTGAGGGTACTGGTTAGAATACAGCCGGATGAAAATAATTTTTTTAGTGTTTCTATTTTCGTTTCGTTTTAATAATCATAAAAAAAATTTTGTTGTTATTATTCTCATGCAATATAAACTTTTACAGGTACTGATGCTCCAATCCAAACATGGCTGGTAAATAACCTTAAGTCTGGTTCGGTTGTAGGAGTAGATCCTACAACTTACACACGCAGTGCTTGGACAAGTCTAGCGGTACGTCTAAGATGATAACTATACCTATTTATAGGCAATATTACTTTGATATTATTGATTAGGGTTGTTGCGAATACCAGGATCCGCATCCGCGTATAATCTACATAAATTGCAATGTCCGTATCAGCATTGCGGATGTTCGAGTCGTAACGTGACCTAAAAGGAACAGACTTTAAGCCGAAAAAGCACCTCAGCTGTTGTTGTTTTTAACCATCGAGTATATAAACAGAAATAGAGAGAAATTGTCATTTAATTTGTTTGAAACTATTCTGCCAAATCATTACTGTGACTGCGCTCCGATTGGCGAGCCCACGTTCGAAACAATGGACGGATGTCGTCAATTGTTTTACTTCAAATGAAACCGTTTAACCGGAGCATTGCTATAATTGACGAAAATTGCAAAATTATATATTTAATTACCGGTGAAATGTGATTCCGTTTGTTTTGTGATTAGATGTTTTGCTGTTTTTCCCACACCACCGAATAGAACAGCACGGCATTGTTAGAGATATCATCTTTATTACAATAAATACAGAATATATGGAGACGTACACACAGGTCAGTTGTTGGCGTTGTACTATTTCAGCTTTCTAATTTGTGATTTCAGTGCAAACGAGAGTTGATATTTAAAAGTGATATAAGGTCCATTTCCCTGATGAGTTGCCAGGGATGGACGACCCTTATTTCGTCTCTATATCTGGTTATATACTCGATGCGTAGGAAGCATGTTGGAGCCATAGACTAGATATTGATTTGATTTTGAGGGGGGACCATTCTCGTTACTTTTGTATGTCTGTTGTGGTAAAAGGTTAGTTTTCTACTGCATTTTTACATGGCACCATTAAAATTACTTTAAAAACCAACTTCGACCTCCTAGGTCAGTAGTTTTGTCCTACGATGCCGTTAAACCATTTCCGGAAATCTGGAATTCGAAACAGTAAATTAATATTTGGTGTAACACCCTTTTCCGACCATTGTTGATGATAATTTAATCAATATTTGCTGTTACAGAATACGTTGTCACCCTGGAACATAACTCTGTATGCTACGTCTGAAAACTTAGTGGACTTAGCCCGTGACAATATACATGACCCACCGCCTCCCAGGCCTGAAAATCAACTGATACCACACCCTATTGAGTACAGTGGTAAGTATACGGTTGTCTGCTCTCGGAATTTACCATGGCATTTTCGGTGAATGAAAATATCGTGAAGAAACTGCAAAGTATTTGAAGTCCAAGTCAAAGAATAGCGGGCATTACACAGACACTCTATCGCGCTCTTTCCATTGTAACAAAAACAAACACGAGCAATAGCGTGCGAAATAACGTTAGCTTAAAAAACTAACTAACAAACAGGTACGGTACAATACGCTCCAGATCACGCGAAAGGGGGCTAATATTTTTTTTCCATAGGTAAAATAAATTCACACTTGAAGTCATCATTTTTTCATTGTGCTGAATTCCCTGAGAAGAACGAGTAAGAACCTCTAGTGATTCCTCTTTTCAATTGAACTAAAATGCTATGGAATAAATACACTTTGAAACATATTTGTGTGGAATCTAGGCTCATGTTGTCTTTCTGTACATCTTTATCTAACACGTAGTCTGCAATTTTGTAATATTACTTTTCAATGAAAATACTTTTAATAAAAGTTAACTTAGGAAATGATAATTTTAATATAATATGATTCGGAATTTTATTGTAAAAACGTATGACAGTTCCAAAAGAATAATTTACCATCCATGAGTGTGGAATTAGTTCTAAGGCTAATATTATTATGGATATCTTTTTATCATACAAAATATTTGAGTAAATGCACTATGGCAAGCCATGATATAATATAATAATAATATTTAAAAAACTGACCCTCCATATTTCATATTGTAGTTTCGCGTCTTTTTCTGTCTTTCGAAGGAATTTTTCATTGAGTTTGTTCTTTATACTTGTTTGATCTTTGTGTCAATTAGTTAAAATGTACAAATAAATATAAATTACTTTATGTTTTTAGGAAAAAGGGCAGGCGAGAAAATATCACAGCTGTTGTTACAGATTGAAGAGCGCGGCGCCACCGCTTTAGTTCTAACCGCTTTGGATGATATCGCGTGTAAGTTCGGTTTACACTCTTTTTTCACCCGAGAAGACCTGTGAACAGTATTTGCGACTCAAAAGAAGTAATGCGGCTATTACTTTGGTCTATTTTTTACAGTTTCGATGTTATAGGTACATTGATATAAAATACATTGAATACTGTCTGATAATTGAAATATCTAAGAAGGATGGTAAAAGCTGACCCAAAATCAACAAAGTACCGTTCATGAGCTTTGCAAGTATAATTTAACGTTTTGGTTTATGCGTAGTTATTAATATGTTTTTGTATATTTTTAGAAGTCAGGATTAAAGAAACGTTTTCTTCTTCTTCTTCGTTTTGCTCAATGGCGGTTCCTTCTTTTTAAGATTTCGCCAGTGTCGAGTTTTCCGCTTAGCAGAATAAGTTTAAATATGTTTCTGTAAATATGGCCGCCACATAGAGGATAGGCAATTTGAGGCGGCGTGCTTGGATTGACTCGGGATTCCTTAAAACGGGCCGATACGGGTATTTTAGTTCGAGATTCGTATAATTTCGCGTTTTAATCTTCGATTAAGGCACAATAGCACTATCCTATTCCACTTTAAACTAGATTTCACAAAATAATTGAAAGTCAAAATAAAAACGACACTTTTCACTCCAAAAGGTCCAGAGCGAATCAAAGAAACGTTTTGACAAGAGGCTTCTTGCCAATGTGAATGTCACTTTGAGATTGAGAACGGTGTAACCATTCGTGGCAGATTTCTGCCATTTGGGCAGTTTTAATTTTTATAAATTTTCATTGCGACAGAACATGTTAACGTTAAATATTCGACAAGTTCTTTATTGTTTTTAGGAACAAACTGAAAACTTGTTGCTTTCTGCTACTACGAACAAACATCTGAAGCGAAATATAGGACAATGTTATAAACATAACCGATATCAACTTTACAACCCCAGCTTCTACAGGCTGTACCAAATTAGCTTTTTGATGCTATGATAATGAATCACAAATATTGATAGGTCTCTTTAATGCACGTCATCAAAAACACTAGGACTTCTTTATTTATTTATTTGCATAAGTACAGAATACAAATCAATATTGGTAAATTTTATTAAACGTAATGAATAAATCTCCATTAAATTAACAGCAGATGAATAAGCATTAAACAAAGATAACACAAAAATGCATAATATAATAAAAAAAAACATAATAATAATATTAAATTGAAAGTTAAATTACTTGCTGATACCAAACAACCATATTACGAAAGTAACGGTCTGACAATTCGGAAAAAATTTCATGATTTCTTAATAAAGAGTACAGGAAAATGCCAATTGCCTTGATATTTAATAAATAGACCGGGCAGTTGGTGTGGTTGTCTGGCATAAATAAAATGTTTGATACATTTAGTATTATTATGTTTTCACTTCTCATGCTTTGGTGCCGGGTTCACGAGACTTTCACTTGCGTGATTCACATCGCGCCTACGCAAAGATCAATCGCGTACGCGCAGGTAGGGTTGCACGAGTCGCTCGCTTGCGCCGACCTTTTGCGTTGCGTGAGTTTGATATCTAGCAAGCTTGATATTTCCACGTTTGCGGAGGACAGCACCAATGACCAATCACAGAGTAACAGCCGGTTCGAGTGTGTCGACACCCCAAACAAAGGCAAGACTCGTGAACGCCTTTGCGCGGAAGGCAGATGTCGACGCCTTGTACCCAGCCGACGGAAGCAAGTGAAAAACGCAATCGGCAGACTCGTGAACCCGCAGCCTAACAGTACGTCAATTCGTATCTTTCGTATCTCTCACTTAAATATTGTCTAAACATTTTTGTCACATTGTGTTTTATTTTTTACTTTATGCCATTATTGTTTAATTGATTATTTGATTAAGTATTTTATAGCTTTAATGTGTGTACTATAAAATAACCAATGCTTTAGGTAGGTAAACATTCAATCATGCTTAAAATGAAAAGTACTTACTCTTGTAACGTTCTTACGTTACCTAATCTATGGTGCAACTGAATCAATTGCGTTGTGGTTTTGCATTTATTATAAAATACATTGTTTGGCAATTTCTTTATTCCCGCCTTCTAAAAATATACAAAAATATATTAATAACTATGCATAAACTAAACCGTAAAATTATACTTGCAAAGCCTTACGTAGTGGGACAAAGTTCATCTTTTAATCCTGGCAATAAAAAGAACCTAATTTTTTAATGTACTTCGTATGAGCAAACTTAAACAGCCAGCAGGATGCTCGGTTTTAGTTCCGTGCCTTTTCCGCATAGACAGTGGCGTCATATTATTTTCCCGCTTTCATGCGTTTGTTGTATCTGTGTCTAGTTGGAAAAAAGAAATACCACGAAAAATTCAGAATTTTGGTTCGTAAAGGCGTTTACAGATGCGCAGCGCACGCATCGTACGTCTGTGGCAGTGCGTCCACTGTATCCGCAGCAATCGGATCGTCGACGCAACTACTAGCTATCTATAACTTTTCGTTCATGATTTCGCGCGCGCGTATCGGAAAAATTGCGAGCAACTGCGTCAGCATTACCGACAGGCCGGTGCGTGCGGTCCGCGCGATGCGGACCAGTGGACGCAGTTGCATGAATTTCTATATAAAGAATACTAAAATCCGTATAATGCGATCCGCCCGATGCATGCGCTGCGGATCTGTGGACGCGTACCTTAATTTTGTTTTAAAGCAAAAGCGATTGAAATATATTTTTGCTATCGCAATCGAAGTGGAAAGTATAGTTTTCACTTCGAGTAACAGTAATAGACATCCTCGCTAAAGCTGGGGTGTCTAACCACCTCCAGTAGATATTTGCTCGTCCCTCAATAAAAATATACTATTACTTCACAGACACTCTAAACCTTCGGGGCAGTGACATTCCGTACAATCCAGTGTTCTTCTCGTATTTGATATTAAGAGTTGATGCGGTAAGTTCGAAACGTAGTTTTTTTTATTTATTCAATCAATTTTTTTATTGGTCGTCAAAGGTCGTACCAATGATAGGATGTACAGACAGAGGCATACGAAAATTTAAATGTCCAATCTAATTAATTTATAAAAGATTAAATTATACATTTCAAGGTCTTGACAATTCCCTCCTGAACATATCCAAGAAGGGGACTGTTAACCCTTATATAAGTTTTTTAGGTGTTATTATATGTATATATTTATATACATATATTTATGTAGGTATAATTTATAGTTTTTGTTATTTGATAATGTAAGTTTTTTATTCTTTATTTATACAATCCATTTGTATACATTGGCACACTGCATCTCCCTCTCAAAGGTTGTCTGGAAGAGATTGCTCTTAGGCGGCCTGCCTTTGCCCACATTAGCTTTAAGTTGTTTATGTACTGTTCTTGTTCTTGTATGCGAGCAATAAAGTGTAGTTATATCTATCTACTTTTGGAGAACTTGCGATTAAGTAAGGTTTTCCATAGGGTATCAAATCATACAAATTAATTTTAGTACGCACTTAAAATTGTAGATGGCGACACTTGAATAAAATAAAAAATAAGTATTGAATCTCGAAAATGTGAGGTGTCATACTAAATAAGAAGTATAAAATTTGGAAAAGAAATGCAACATTTTAAGGACGTTGAAATTAAAATTAATTTACAATTATGAAACTTGGTAACGTTTAACTGTTGTTGAAAATATAACAAATCGAAAGTTTCTCAATGGTATTCTGTTTTATTTTTTAGTTTGCAATCAATTGTATAGACGGCACTACTTTCAATTTATTATTGAAATTAAGTGACATTTTAGTTCTGACTTTATATTTAAGTTCACTATTGGTTCTACCTCCTCCGTAACCAAATGTAGGAAAATAGTACATTATGATACAAGTGTGCTAAGTTGGTCATTACACACGAGGCGTTATTACTCGCGCGAGCCGCAGGCGAGCGCGATAAGAAAGCCGAGAGTGTAATGATCAAAGCACACGTGTTTCATACGACGTTTTTCAACACATTTGCGAGGAAAATGAAACAAACTTGAGTAAAATGGAAATGAAAAATAGCTTTATTTGGCATTAATTAAAAGTTTCATATGCAGCCATGTATTTTTCTCTGGATTTCGAAGGTAATAAACTGTCACTTGCGTTTTGTGCCTCTGTGAGGATTTCGGGCGGTGTTAAATCCATCAAAATGTTTTCTTCCGTGCTTGAGCAGGACATTTTAAACACCTAGGTAATTATCTAACACACAGCGTATATAAATGTTTCGAACGTATCAATGGAAATTGGCGCGCAGAGTTATTTTTTCTGCGCCTGGCGCCGCGGCGCGGATATGCGCGCGCAGGTGCTTCGGCAATAATGAGACTTAGGTGAAATTCCTAAACAGCCAATGCGAAATAATATAAATATGTCCTTATTTCACTCAAATTCGTGTAAAATATTATCCAAAATAAGTAATTTTATTCAATTAAAGTTTTATAGGTGTATATTGTGTATGTTTTTCTATATTTATCACATCAAATAAGAAATATAAATTTATTAATAAAAATATTATTTGTAAGGTAAGACTACACAACCGTATTAAACAGAAATAAAAAAAAAACTGTGACCCTGTTTGTTTGGGATTACTGTCATTGTAATTTGAATCTTATAATATGTAGGTTAGAGCTGTTTTTTTAATAGACCAAGTTAATTTCAAAGACATAACCCGGATAATTTAAGAATGCATAGTTTTAATACATAGGCCTTGTTGTGAGATACATCTTAATCCGGTTAAGCCTATACTTATTACACACACGTTTTGTAATATAATTACAAACGCGTGTTCAATAGCTAGGTTTATGAGCCTAAAAGCGATACAATAAGAAGCCCGTTACGAGCAAATGTGTTGAAAATGAATTTATATGGCGTGCAAGCAATAATTTTAACATTTTATATTGTAAGTCAATGATTTTATGTAATGCTTTTGATCTGGATCTGTTTAATACGAGTGTGATTTCGGCAATGAGATTACAAGTGAGCACTTCTTTGACTCTTAGTGAAGCTTACAACTTCTATGGTTTTAGCTTTTTTTTATGCTTTATATAATAAATTGGGGAATTTGTCCTTATTATATTTTTACTTGTGAGGATCTTTAATTAGTCCGTTGTTATTATTATTATTATTCAATTTAGTTTAAAGCTGTAGATCTTCCTTATGAAAAATATGTTTCACAGATTGCCACGGAGGAGTGGCATAAATGTTTTCAAAATTAGTTCATTCGTATGAAACAGTGCATTAACGCTAACGGAGAATATTTTGAGCAACAATAAATTTATTTCTGACCATTTACAGTATTTTTTTTATTCATTCCGGAAAGTTATAGTGCTCCCCACGTATTATAGTATTATATAGGCTGCTTCTCCTTCTTTTAAAACAAGTATTATATGTATTATATATGTAGGAATATATTATGTAATTCTACGTTATTATATTATATATTTTTAATATATATGTATGTATATTTATAACTGTAATGTGTAGTTAATAATTTCCACATGTCTGTGTAAATAAATGTTTAAATCTAGCGCCCTCGCTTTTAATCACGTTTAGTTTCCCTCCGCTCTATGGTTGCCTGGAAGAAGACCGCCAATAGTTACCCTTTTTTTTTTTTTTTTTTTTTTTGACGGGGGGGAAATCTTTATGGATACCCCTGAGCCCAGGGAGACTCAGGGGTTATGTGGGGACTCTCCCTCCAGACTGGAGGGCCTACCCCACTAAAACCCCCCCGGGTTTCCCTCTCGCCGGTTGAGTCGGCGCCGTGGGATCAGTGAACATTCACCACGACGCCGCCCGGCGCCAATAGTTACCCTGCTAATGTGTTTAATTTTTGTCCTGTAATCTCTATGTATGTGGTGCTAACAATAAAGAAATTTGTGTGGTTTTACTATTCTTCCAGGCTGCGACGAATAAAGTGATTCTATTCTGGGGTTCAGGTCAGTTGTATTCGAAGATATCACAGTTCCTGCTAGACCAGGGCGTTCAGCTTGAAGTCAGGCCTTACAGGGAAATATTTGATTATTTGACCAAAATGTCGGTAAGTACCGAAAAGTATGTCATCGTCATTTTGATTTAAACGTTAAAGTTTTTTTAAACGTTAAACTTTTCACACATTGTTTTTTAGTTTGGGACTGAATCATATATATAAAATATATTATTTAATTACCTCGACATTTCGGGCGTATTGCAACGTCCATGGTCTCGAAGGGAATGAAGCGGGTGTCAATATCGTCTAGCCGTGCGAGTTTTTTTAACTTCCCGCAATTGGTCTTCATTATGTTGAGTGTGTTCGTTATTATTAATAATTAAATATTATATCCTTTTTATGTACAGGTACAAGTTAAGTAAACATGACACTAAGTAATTTCTTTACTTTTAAATATAGAACTTAAATAGCGATATATTCAAGTTAAAAAGCAAAAAATATATTTGACTTACAACAACTTACATGGGGATATATTATAAGCGCCAAAAAGGGCTTAACATGCATTGTTAAAAAAAATTCGATGTTACACAACCGATTACGAAATTCATTATTGTATTAAAATTCTATTTATTTTTAACCGACTTCAAAAAAGGAGGAGGTTCTCAATTCGACTGATGTTCTTTTTTTTCTTTCTTTTTTTTTCTTTTTTTGTATGTATGTTACGCGATAACTCCGGTATTTGTGACCCGATTTTCATGATTTTTTTTTGTTGGAAAGAGGGTACTTCCATAGTGGTCCCATTTCATTTTGAAGAAAATCATCCACCTCGAAGTGTGGCTGTTCACGCATGAAGATTCATTTCCATAAATAGCACCTAAATTTTCTTAAGGAGCAATTATTTTAATGGTTGATTTTGCTATTTCCCCAATTCAAGGCGTTTCTCTCTCAATATTCTTTGAGTACTGAGAACCGATTTTTATTATCTCCAGTGTCAAGTCCTATATAGTGGCGAACTAGGGGATATTTCAATAAAACTTAGCAAATAGACGTAATTCCACGTACTTTTGAGGTCGGTTTTTTTAGTACTCTGTACTGAGATTATCACATTCATATGTAGAAATACTTATTTGAAAAAACGTTCTACTATAAAATTTGTTTTCTACCGCTTACATTAAGCCAGTGGTAATGGCTCGGTAAATGCCAAATTCATATTTGAACATCGAGTATATATAACTAGAAATAGAGACGAAATGTGATTTAATTGCATTGAAAACTATTCTGCCAAATCATTACTGTGACAACTGCGCGATGGCCAGCCCGAATTCAAAACAATTGACGGCTGTCATCAATTGTTTCACTTCAAAACGACCAGTTTGACTTGAACTTTGCTATAATAGACGAAAATTGAAAAATTATATAACTTAATGTTTAATTACCGATGAAATGTGATTCCGTTTGTTTTGTAATTAGATGTTTTGCTGTTTTTCCCACACCACCGAATGGAACATCCCCCATTGTTAGAGATATTATCTTTATTACAATAAATACAGAATATTTTTAGAATAGACGGAGACGTACACACAGGTCAGTTGTTGGCGCTGTACTATTTCAGCTTTCTAATTTGTGATTTCAGCGCAAACGAGATTTGATATTTAAAAGGGATATAAGGTCCATTTCCCTGATGAGTTGCCAGGGATGGATGGCCCTTATTTCGTCTCTATTTCTGATTATATACTCGATGTATACGAATAACTTTTGAAATAACAAAATGTAAGTTACTTCCATTCTTGGGGACAATGTATTTTTAATGGGAGATTTCTATCATACATTGTTTTAGATTTAAAACCATTCATTTACAGAATGCGCTTCCAGAAAGAAGTACGATATGGCTAGCTGATACCGGCAGTCATGCTATTTTCTTAGCAGCTGAAGGCGTAAGTAATAAGAAAACATCTTTATTTCAAAATTCAGCATTACGGAATCCAAAATTAGGTTTCTATCGATATTGATAGTCTATATTTATAATACTAACTTATGAAAGTATTAATATTCCGTATTTCCGGCTCAGAGTTGCCATTTAAGAGCGATGCTACACGGGCGTTGCCGGTGCGTTGCGTCGTTACAACGCTTTAGCATAGCCGTTTACGTACACTACGCAGCACCCCTCTCTGCTTCGTCTCTTGGCCCCTTGTCCAATTGTGCGGGTCCCACGCGCCATTTATTATAGATTTGAAGAGTCCGCTGGAGGTTAAAAAATGACATGAAATAGTAGACGTGTTTATGATTGTTTCAATAAGAGTATCTGCGTGCATAGGCTTTGATCCGGACACGTTCCTTTAAAGTGTTTGGGATTCCTGAGGATGTACATCATTTGCTCATGGAGTGTATTCGGACGGAACCTATCAGTTATCGGTTATTTGCATAAGCTGGTTTCCGTACATTTATTGTTGGGTGGTTTCAAACTGTTTTGTCGGTCGGACCCAACATGTAGTGTCGCGGAGATTTTGTTGATACATGTTTGGTTAGGTAGTATTTTGATTTGTCTATCTGGATTTTATTAAATGTTTTCTTGATATACCGTTTTTCTAATGGGGCTGACAAGTTCAATAACGATCAAAACCCCTAAATAGATAAAGAGTAAAAAAAACAAGACTGCCTCAAAATCGGAATTGTTCATTTCTATTTCATATTCATACTACATTATCAAGATACCTATACGCGATTCTGGTATACGTATATCAATACGTAAAGACCTACTGCATTTAACAAAGTTTATTTCAATATACACGAGAATACTATTGAAAAGTAGCCTGCTTGTCGGTTTTCTATCGGATACATTTCGCGGAGTGTGCGCAGGAACTTTTCAATTTGGTTGCACCCTCACCGTTTCTCCTTCGGTCGACTAGAAGGTCCGGAATACTCCATCCTTATGTCGTTGGTATACCACAACAAAAGGAAAAGCAAAGGAAAAGGAATGGAATACATTAACTGTGTTTCCCGAAAAGTACAATTTGGGGTTATTCAACGCTAGAGTGAATAGGCATTTTTTAGTCAAACGCGTCCCATCGTCGGTAACATCGTCATTTAACATCAGGTGAGATTATGGCCTAACGTGTGTGTGAACGCCTTTTTTAAAAAATTATGTTTTGCAAACTGTAGGTACAATTAAAATTAATAATATGGCAACCCTACGCCCAGAGCGATGTGTACAGGCGGGAGCTGCAGTACTTGTTTTATGTCTATGCAAATATTTAGCAGAAATAGTGGGTTAAATTGCAACACTGAGCTGGAAGGTCGTTCACCTTAAAGGGGGCATCCATTATCCTGCATTGCAGTCCGTTTTGCCGTTCACCGCGTGCGATGCAAAACTATGAATGTAGTCGCAGCGTGCTAGCCATCCTGCAATGCGTCCTGCAAGACTTCATACGTGGGTCATACGCAGGATAGTGTGTGACTTGTGTGAGCAATCTCCTGCCTGCAGGGTTGACTGCCATGCGGATAGTGAATGGGCTGTTTAACACTGTTCGACGGATAGTCGTCCTCTTTTTTTTTGATTCACTGTTTTGTTTATTTATTTAAATTTGAGAGAAATGTAATGCTTAATCTAATTTGTTTGTTTTTTATGTTACAGAAAGGACATACTACTATAATATCGACAATATCTCCAGTGGCTTTGATTAAATGTGTTAAAAACGAAGTTGAACTTGCGGTATGTACCTTAAATACAATTATTATATTTCTAATACAAAAATCATACTTTTGGCATTAATAAAGCGCCATGCAACCATACATCAAAAATGCTTTTATCA